CTATCGAAATTTAACAATTAATGATTTAAATCGATAATGGTAATTATCGTTAATAATCACCCATACCGGTAACTATCGATAAGAATTATCGATAGTTATTAAATATTTGATAGTAATCGCTATTTATCTATATTCAAAATTTCCTGATGATATAAATCAAGCTGATAGGTTAAAGATTTTTACATATCAGATACAGCTCTTGGTTGAGATTGGACCTGTATAAGAGTAGGGCTGTTAATGGAGTATTATACTCCAGAGTAATTTCGGAGTATAAACCACTCCATCCCAGTGTGGTTCATATGCTACACCACTCTAGAAATCAAATCCAGAGCTACTACTAATACTACCCCAGACTAAAATTATAAATATTTTATCAATTGTTGTATATTAAAAATAAAAATTTTATTAAGACATTCAAAACATTATAGTAAATAAAGTTTTAGATACCAAATTCTAAACTAGAATTAGCAAACCGTTTTAAAATATATATACTATGAAATTAATCCGGAGTAACATACTCCGGGTGAAATTATAGAGTTTAATCTGGAGTAATAGCCCTGGTGTGGTTTGGTTTTGATAGTTACTCTGGCAGAGTATACACCGCACCACTCTGGATCACTCCGTTAACAGCCCTATATAAGAGTCACCCGGGCGACTCAAATTAATTTCTACAAACAATAAAACATATAATATTTGAATTACATTACAAGTTGTTTTTTTATGTAGAGCTATGTAAATAATTTATGTAAATTTTATTTAAAAATTATATATAGGTCTATAAACCAAATGTAGACTTACATAATTATAATTATAAATAATATTTATTTAAAAGTTATAATTAGAGTTAGAGTTAAGATTAGGGTGAAATTACTGAACATTTTTATTAGTAACACAATAGGGTTGGTTATCTTGGTAAAATTTTGAGATATTGACTAATTTTTCCATTAAAATTTATATTAAAATTTATTTAAGTTTTATAATATATTGAGAAATATTGAATAAAGTTAAAAAAAAAAAATTATTAAAGCTTAAAAATTATTTTTATTACACGGCTAATCAACATATTGCACCCGATATTAAATTTTAGTTGGTTAAAATATCCTAGCACTACTATTTAAAGCCCAAGAATCAATTTTCTCAGAAAGATTCTTGCCGGTGATTTAATCTTTAGAACAAATCAGTGATTCGTTTGATAATGTTGGAATAATTGCATCAGCAGATTGGAATACTTTTAAGATTGTTACTTTATTTCTGTTTTTTGCAGCACTATGAACTACTATATTATACCATTTTGCCAAATTTTTATAGATATTAGATACAATTGGTCTGTTAGGAGGATTTGCGTCCATACATTGATTTGACAGATGGATATAGCACTCAGGAGTGCCTTTGGCAAACTCAGGGCGTAATCCACTGCATATTTAAATAACTAAATTTACATTATGCTCAAAATCATAATGAGGTGGTTTTCCTGCCAAAACTATAAATGTCTGCTTCTATAGTATATGATCATTTACCTAACACTTCTGGGGCAATATAAGGTAAAATGCCATAAACACTCACTTCTAAATAAGAATCATCATTTCTTCTAGATAATCCTAGATCTGCAATATGAGATATTAAATCTCCATTAATATCTTGATTCAATAAAATATTACCGCTATGAAGATCTCCATGAGCATAATTTGCTTCGTGTACTTTCGTTAAATTTCCTGATATATCAACAAATTGCTTTAATTTACTTTTCCAATTAAGTTCTCTAAAATTTGATAATAAGAATTGACGAAGACTTTCTTTATTTGCATATTGAAATACTATCAAGTATTCATTATTAATTATGTTTTGAGTTATCCCATAAACTTCAAGATTACTACCCGCTAATCTGCTTTCTGCATAACTTTTAAACTTATTAATTGACGAATTTCAATGTTAATAATTTGTCTGTAGCACTCTGCCTATATGTTGTATAGCTTATAAAAAATTATAAAAAAAAAAAGAAGCTTGATAAATCCTACATTAAATCATATCATAATACGAATAATTGTAATTCTCTTTGTGGTCAAATTAATTTAAAAATTAACGTTTAATATTACCCATTAAATTTATTTTATTTGCATAGAGTGGGCATAATAACTACGTTAATAATATATACAATTTGTCTATCTGTAATATTATTTGTTGGCTATATATCAAGTTTAGAGCTTCTTCTTGAATTAGCTTAGCTTGTTATGATCATTCATAACGATAAATAGATACCTTTAATGTTAAAACTTGGCAATAAAACTGTCGCATGTGCTATGCTAGTTTTATTACACTTATTTTGATCAAGCAATAGATGACTATTCATCATTTATGTATGTTAAAAAAGCACATGGTATTCGCATAATCAATAAAGCCACAAATAATACATATCAAAAAAAAAGAAATTGAATAACAAAATGAAAATTATTTAGCGGCAAAGTATGTTCTGATTGTTTTGTACAGCTCAAATGCTTAAATATTTACATATGCGTAAAATAACAATAAAAAAAAAAAAAGAAAAATCAAAGCCAAAAACTTTAACTACAAATTACGACAATTAATACATGTTACCACGTTGATGAATTTAGAGATACAATATAAAAAGAATTTGTATTCAGACAATACTAAATCACTTAAGTATGAAAAAGAACGAGAATGTCATTATTACATAAAGTTATTCTCTTTTATTTTCTGTTTTTATTAATAGTCCAAGCAACACCACCTAGTATTAGATCTTTCAGCGAAGATGAAGGTTGTGAACAAGTTCAGTATACATCTGAAGTCTTAGTATTAGTACCTCATCTCAAAAAATGCCTTTCTACTATCAATGAATTAGCCGTTTATCCGGATGATCCTGATTGTCGAAATTCCTATTTTCCTGAGGTACGTACCATTTATTATAAATTATATCAAGCAGGATTCTTAATTCCAGCGGGATATTGCATTAATGCTTGTATTGGTGGCCATGCTACTGGCGGTGAAGTATTTTATGATTTATAGAATAATTTTATATCGATTTTGTTTTATTTTACAATTTATTGATTGAATTTATTAGAGATTCGGTATCATTACAAGAAAATATGGAATGTCATCCGTAGTGCTACAAATCGAAAGTTGAAAAATCGATTAGTTGATCAAGTTGACAACTAATCGATTCCATTTTACCAAACC